GCCCGGACGGGAGAGGGGCGGGGTCGGGCCCCCGCCCAGCGGACAGCGACGAGCCAACAGGAGGGGCCGCAGTGCGCATGCGGGAGCGCGCATACCCCTCCCCCACAACCCCCCATTAATCCCCAGGAGAACAAACACCCCCCGCGGCCCCCCCGCTCTCCGCGGAAGGATCTGCTCCTCTTCCCAGGCCACTGGTGGCCAATCCCAACCCTCCCTGGGGAGGGGCCCCTTCCAAAGCCACAATCTGTTGGGGGAGCCAGGAATGCCAGGTCGGGGAGGGGCCAGCCCCAAAAGATGAAAGTCACAACTTGCCCTGCCCCGCCCCAAAGGCTTGCCGGGTAGTGCGCCGGGACTTGACCCGCCTCCCCAGGTCAACATGTCACAACAAGACCTCGGCCTGTCAAGTCACATGACCTCTGCCTGTCACTGACAACCTAGTCTGTCTTTAGGCTGGGAGGGACCATCTGGTCCAAGCCACCCCCACGCCCAGTCTGAAGCAACAACAAACAGCCTGGCCAAGGACCTGTCACTTCCACACCGTCGAGTCACAACCGGCCTTTTGACAGCTTCTGCCTAAACTCTGGCTACCCACATGAGGGTATGACAGGATATGTAACCAAGCCACCACATGGCCTGTGGGGTTTTGGGGGGGGTTTTTTGACCGGTAAGGGGATCACAACCCTCCGCACGGTGTCGTCCGCACCATGCTCAGCCAGTGAGCGCACTGGCCATCCCTATATAGGATCCGAACCCGCGGCCTCGGCGCTGCCAGCGTCGCCCTCTCCTGAGTGAGCCACGGGGCCGGCCCATGGCCTGTGTTTTCATGGCACAAGAAAAACACTTTGCGTTTTGCATAGTGCTTTTTACTTTTGTTTAAGTTACCTCCAAGTTCATAGCTCTCTCATTTTACCTTCACAACTCGTTATCTTTCATGTACAAACAAGAACCGTAGGGTAAGTGAGGGATAGCTGAGGCCAGAATCTGGGCTCTTGACAACCCAGTCCAGGGCAGTCGCGGGCTCAAAGCACGCACACACCCGAGGCAACAAGGCTCTACTGGAGGTCTCGACCCCAAACACCTAGGAGCAGACGGCCTGCGCCCAGCTCCTCACAGCAGGGACTCCAAGGACTCGCTGTCTGGTACAGTGAGAAGGGAGGGTCTTGGTCTCCACTGGGCATGAATTCTGGCATGCTGAGGGCTTATCAAAAACAAGAAGATAAAAGTCAAGGCTGCTCTTCCAAGAGAAGCTAAAATGACTACCAAGAGGATTCCAGTATCTCGGCCCCTTTTATGGGGAGTTAAGGAGCTAAAAGAAGAGACCTTTAAGACGCAAACTTTCAAAGGAGGGAGGTTCAAAAGGCCTATGTGTCCCTTAGCTGGGAGGGGCCAAGGAAAGCGGGAGTTCCTTATGAAGGAGGTAAAACGGGGGCAAATGCTAGGTGAGCGGGACAGCAGCTCCTGGAGGAGACAAGCTACAGAGAGGCTCCATACAGCAGCCCAGTGTCAGCCACGGTTGATAGCCGTTGGGGCAGTTGGGTGCCAGGAGCTGGCGCCCGCCCTCTCTCCTCTCCCCCACCTCCCACACCTCCCACACCTCCCACACCTCCCACACCTCCCACACCTCCCACACCTCCCACACCTCCCACACCTCCCACACCTCCCACACCTCCCACACCTCCCACACCTCCCACACCTCCCACACCTCCCACACCTCCCACACCTCCCACACCTCCCACACCTCCCACACCTCCCACACCTCCCACACCTCCCACACCTCCCACACCTCCCACACCTCCCACACCTCCCACACCTCCCACACCTCCCACACCTCCCACACCTCCCACACCTCCCACACCTCCCACACCTCCCACACCTCCCACACCTCCCACACCTCCCACACCTCCCACACCTCCCACACCTCCCACTACCCTCGTTGTCCCCCTGCGCGTGCGCGCGCAGACACCGGTTGCCAAACATTGCATCATCCCCGCCCCCCTTTCCTCCCCTCCCCCAGCCACACTCCCCTCCGCGCGCGCGCATGACTCACCCACCTCCTCTGCGAAGCCTCGTGACCCAAAGCCACTTCCGGGTCCAACACGGCGTCGACCCCCATGCGGGAGGGAGCGATGGGGACAGTGCCGCCGGGCTTCTGAGTGGTGGATGTGAGCGATGGGGCGGGGCCAATGCCGGCGTGCCGTTTTCCAATTGGTAGGCTCCTGGATCCCGCCCTGGAGGAGGGCAAGGCCTTGGTAAATGATCACCGCTGAGCGCTCCAGAGGTCAGAGACTTGAGTCTAAGGCATAGAGCATACCATGTTGAAGATGAGCGGGTGGCAGCGACAGAGCCAAAATCAGAGCCGGAACCTGAGGAGAGAGGCGAGTACTGACTCCCGTCGACCCTTTACCCTCCCGTCTTTGCGAACATCGGTTGTCCCCTCAAAGTTGGGGCGTCTGCTCTTTCGGATGTAGCCCCACTCCTTCCACAATGAAGTTAGGGACCGTCCGAGGGAGGGATGGGGAAAATTCTTATTCAGCAGTGGTGTCTACAGACCTCTTCCTTCGGACGATAGCGTTACCCCATCCCTGCCCGGAGCATGGGCCCAGCTCTGTGCTGCTGAGCGAAGGGACCCTGGCTGCCCTCAGGAAATTCATTCTGCCCGTTGCCGACTTCAGGCCACCTTGTAAGGCCTGTCCATTGGGAGGCGGAGCAGCAGGACACACCCCCGTTCCGGGAAGATTTTGGTGACTGTGGCTCAGGCATTCCCTCTACCCCACCCCCAATCCTGTCTCAGGCGCAATGCCTCGAGGGCCAGCATGGCCATTTCGGTAGCTGAGGCTCCAGGACCCCCACTAATGAGAGAACCTTGACGAGACTGACACCAGCCTTTGGGAGGAGGGGTGCTAATGGACAGGGAGTGGAGATGGGTTTTCCCTTTCCCCCAGAGGTCTCTGGAACTCCCGCACAAGAGAGCAGCCTGGATCTCTTAAGTGTGGGAAGCCATTTGGAGTCTCCCCGGTGTACTGTCCTTCTCCTGGGACTGGCCCCTGCTTCTTTCACCTGTCCTGTTTCCTAACTAATCTCTGTGTAACCATTGCATCAGGCCAGCCCCCTGCTTGGCTCTGCAGCCCTCTGATCTGGGGCTCCACTGCTGATGAAAGCAGTGTCCCACACACTGGAAGGCAATGGAGGGTTCCCAAGGGAAGACAGCCCTGAAGAGAAACATTCAGGCTGATATTGCATCTCCAGTCCCCAGGGATAGGTAGCTGCTTCTCTGCCTCTGGGCTTAGTCCTCCCTTCCCTATAAGAAAGATTGGGAGGAATTTATCCATTCATTCCTAACAAATACTTAATGAGCACCTAGTATGTGCCAAGCCAGTTTGGGGCCCAGAGTATATCCTGAACAAGAGAAAAAAAATCCCTGCTCTCACAAAGCTTACATTTCAGTGCGAGGCATACAGTAAAGAAAATGTAAGTCCCATGGAGAAAACTAAAGCAGAAAAAGGAATGGAGAATGTTCAGGGTGGGGGTTAGTTTTACTTTGGGTGGTCAGGAATTACTTCACTGAGGTGACATTTAAATGAAAGACCTGAAGGAGGCAAGGCAGTAAGCCATGCAGATACGTGGAAGGAAAAGCTTTTAAGGAGAAGCGTCAGCCAGAGCAGAGGCCCTAAGATGAGAGCATGCCTGGTATCTTTAGGGAACAGGCCAGTGGGCTGGACTAGAATCAGCAAGAGGGAGAGTGGTCGATAAAAAATCAGGGGCAGGAAAAGAGCTAAGTGAGCTGATTGTAAAGGGCCTTGTAAGCCATTTTGAGGGTATTAGCCTTTAATATGCATGAAATAGGAAGTTATTGAAGAGTTTTGAGCAGAAGAATGACCTGACTTATGTTTTAAAAGGCTCACTCTGGGCCGGCCCGTGGCTCACTCGGGAGTGTGGTGCTGACAACACCAAGTCAAGGGTTAAGATCCCCTTACCGGTCATCTTTTATATGGGGGAAATAAATAAATAAATAAATAAAAATAAAAGGCTCCCTCTGGCTGCTGTATTGTGAATAGACTCGTGGAGGGGTGGCAAGAACAGAAATGAGACCTACAGTCAGGGGGCTTCTGCAATAATCCAGGGAAGAAGTGATGGTAAATTGATCTAGATTGAAAATAGAATGGATGTGAAGTGTTTAGATTCTGTGTATTTTCAAAGAATGTGTTAAGAAAATTTTCTAGTGTTTTGAATCGGATTGCAGAGTGAGAGAGGAGAGGAATCAAGGATGATACCAAGGTTTTTGGCTTCAGCAACTAGAGTTGCCATTTACTGAGATGGGGACAACTTTGGAAGGGGAAGATCTTTGGATATGGAGTTTGTCTTTGGACATGGTCTGAGATGTCTACTAGACATCCAAAGGCAGATGGCAAGTAGGCAGTAGACAGCAGAATTAGAGGTCCCAGGAGAGGTCCAGACTGAAAGTGTACATTGGGAAGATGTCACTGTGGCAGTGGACTTAAGAAAATGCACTTGATTTGTTTGCTTCCCTGTAGTTTAGTCCTTACTCTGGCACATTTGAGGTCTGCCTTGAATTTAGAGAAAGTTGAGTTAGCCATGACTTTGCGATTATGTAATCAGGAACTACAAATGTCAGCAACTGAAAAAGGAAGTCAGACTCTCTTATGTCCTTGGAAATAGCTGCAGGGACCATTAACCATTCACACTCCACAAGACTGGCAGTAATGAAGGACCAGTAAGAGGCTGGAGATGAAAGTAGAAGAAACTGCCTCTCCCCCTTCCAAAAATAGCTAACATATATGTTTATTCCTCACAGTGTTCCAGAAGGAAGTGTATCTTCATACATCATCACACCTGAAAGGTAAACCTAACCAACCCTTTCCCAAAACCAAGTCCCAAGAGATGCTGCTTAAGGTCCTTTTACTGGGACCCTAAGAAATTATGAAAAAAGCTAGAGAAGGTGGAAGAGGAGTGTTTGAATCTGAGCAAGGCTTTGCTGTCAGGCCACATCTATCCTCATGGCCTGCCCTTAACAAGGTGACCAAATCAAAGTCAGCCCCACCCAAGACAGTTGGTTTGTCTTGCCAATCTTCAGTTCCCACCAAGACTATTTGCCCAAGATCCCCACACAGGAGAAAGTAGCACAAATGGCCTGGCAGTTGCCCCTACAATCTACCAATGGAGTTCCCAAGAGTGGTAAGAACTTTTACTAGGATCCCACAAGAATGTATATCTGGGCACTTTGCTTCTTCAAGTCCTATGCAAAAAGCAAGGAGGAAATATTAGTATGAGGGTACTTCAAAAAATTTGTGGAACTCAGATCCCTGTACCAGCCAGCGACCAAAAAAAAAAAGTTCAGGTAAAGATAGAATTAAAAGATATTAAGAGTCTTTCTGTGAACTTTTTGAAGTATCCTCATGTAAACTAGAGGTTGTTTAATTTCCATGGGCCAGATAATCTATCATGATGGTTTATCTCTGCCCTGCCATAGTAGCATGACAGTAGCCATAAACAATATGTAAATAAGTCAGTATGTCTGTGTTCCACTAAAACTTTATCTACAAAAACAGGCAGCAGACCAGTGTGCCAACCAATTGTATAGACTGTTCGCTATGTGGAGCTTGTTCCACCCACTCCCCATTATCCTGACTATATCCTTTTCCAGACCTGATCCAACTGCAGAGATGGCAGCTGAGTCATTGCCTTTTTCTTTTGGGACACTGTCCAGCTGGGAGCTGGAAGCCTGGTATGAGGATCTGCAAGAGGTCCTGTCCTCAGATGAAAATGGGAGTGCCTATGTCTCACCCCCTAGAAACGAAGAGGTGAGAATGCTAGGCCTAAAGCTGGGAGGGGGGTGTTATCTTTCACTTCTCACCTAATATTTACTCTTCCCTTTCCTCATTTTCTTGAAGGAAGAATCAAAAACCTTCACCACTCTTGACCCTGCCTGTCTGGCTTGGCTGACTGAAGAGCCAGGACCAGCAGAGGTTACAAGCACCTCCCAGAGCCCTCACTCACCTGATTCTAGTCGGAGTTCCCTGGCTCAGGAGGAAGAGGAGGAAGACCAAGGAAGAACCAGAAAAAGGAAACAGAGTGGTCAGTCCCCAGCCCGGGCTGGAAAGCAACGCATGAAGGAGAAAGAACAGGAGAATGAAAGGAAAGTGGCACAGCTAGCTGAAGAGAATGAACGGCTCAAGCAGGAAATCGAGCGCCTGACCAGGGAAGTAGAGGCGACTCGCCGAGCTCTGATTGACCGAATGGTTAATCTGCACCAAGCATGAACAATTTGGGACCATCACTCCCCCACTCAGGCCACGACCAACCTTTCCCAGAAGTGGCTACTGTCCACCTTCTCACCAGTGCCAGTGATGTGACCCTCAACCCCACATATTCAGTAGGGGGAAGGCTTGGGGTAGACAAAAGGAAAGGGTCTCAGCTTGTACATAGACATTGTACATTTATTTATTACTGTCCACATCCATTAAAGTGACTTTCTATGAGCCAAGTTCTTTCACTTTTTCTTCTTGCCTTTAGAGGTTTCAAGGGGTTTCCCCTCAGCTAGAGCCAACTGTTTCTTTAGATCCAAGAGTTTAGCTACCTCCGCAGCAACCTGGTTCTTGTCTGCCTTTTGTGCTTTCAGTTCTCGGACAATGTTGCCCTAAGAGAAGGAGGGTGGGGACAATAATAGTGAGACCAGGAAAGGACCTATTCAGCTTTTTTCCAGTCTCCCACAGGACTTAAGCTTCATACCTGTTTGGTCACTTCATCCATCAGCACTTGTATCTTCTGTGACCCAGCTGTTGTAACAGTCTCTACAACTGCTGGTTTGGGAGACGCTTTTGCCTGGAGAAGAACACAGAGTTATCACCAGCTACCATAAATATCCCCCAACCTCCAGTTTTATATAACATCTCAGGGGGAAAGTGATTACCTTTAACTCCAAGGACTCTTCTAGCTAAGACAGGAAAGAAAAACTATAAGTGAGGAAGCAGCAGCAGGGCCAAGAGATGGAAAGAGTGATGAGTGAGGACTACTTAGGGAAACTATGGAGGCGACACTGTGGCTGTTGCAGGGTGAGAGCACAGTCTAGCTTTCTCACCTGGCCTCCTCCAAAGCGCTGCCTCAAACTTTCAATCAGGTCATTTTCCAATTTTTGGAACAAGGGACTGACCTGTGAAAAAAAATTTCAGAATCATTCACTGACAAGGAATAAACTCTACCAGACTATACAAAGAGCCTCTCCAGCCCCAATTTCTGACATTTGGGAATCCTAATTTCTTCTAATGTTTTAGAAGAAATGTGAGCATAACACTGAGCAAATACCTGCTGTTTTCAGGAAAGAATTCAGAAAAAGCACTAGCATTTGGTATAGAAGCTCAAAGTATGGATACGGTCAAAGATTATTTAAGCTATTTAATGATGTTAGGCTGATCCAGAAGTTTAGGGATGTATGAGTATTTTCTCATCTCATGTGAAAGGAAATGGCTACCCTGTATTCTTCCTGCCCACTGCCTGCTAGCATTATGGAGACAAGGTGATTGTGGTGTTTCTTCAAACATCTATACCAGTTCATTTTATGTGCCAGGTACTGGGTTCTGACATGAGGAATAATGAGGATATACAGATAATAATTGGACTTGTGAACCAATTCCAACAACTTCATATCAGAAACAAGCCTAAGTGCGGAGCAGGGAGGAGTGGCAAAAAGGTTTAGATAAAAGCTGTAAGAGTGCCATGCCCAAAGTAAAGTCAGAGAGAGAGATTAGAAAAGAGTTACTGAAAATATGAGTTTTAAGAGAGGGTGGCTCTGCCAACTCTCAAATACCTACTGTGCCAATCTGGTGTCCTGCTGGTAAGGTACACAGGAAGTTTGTGGGCAGGATATTGCAGGCTGGAAGTGGGAGCTGTAGTTGGGCCTGAATGGTGGCGCTAACCGTAGGCATGTAAGGCTGCAGCATGACGGACAGCAAGGCAGCTATATTCACTGCCAAACCTGTCACTGTGCCTGCCCGCTGCCTGGGGAAGAAGAAATATCAGTCAAGACCTCCAGGACACAGCCTACCAGCCACTTTATTCCTGTAGCCAATCCTACTCCCTTACCTACCTATCAGCCTCACTGCCTTTAATCCGCTTCCAGGGCTCATTCACCTGAATGTATTGGTTGCCATGTCGAGATATGGTGAGGATACTGCGTAAGGCATCCCGGATTCTGGGAAGGGAGGAGACAGGCCAAGATGTAAGATACTACAGGGACCAGTATTGGGCTCTCTGTATGCCAGGAGATGAGACACAGGTGTAGGGTACTTACCGAACCTTCTCGAGCAGCTGGTGATAGTGCTGGAGCTCCAGGGTGACATGAGCTAGCAGGCGCTGATCATCAGGGGTAAGCACCATCTCAGGCACATAGCCCCCAAAAAACTTAGACACAAACATCCCAGCTCTTGATGGGGGTAGGGAAAGAGAGGAGGTGAAAAAGGAGTTATTGCCTAGTCTCCTTATAGAAATCTGATTTCACAACTCTACATTCTTTCAGGATTCTTGCCCAGAACTGACACTTCCTGGCTTCCTCAGATAAGAAGGCAAAGATTAACACTTTAATTCTTCATTCTTTCTCTCCCCTAAGAATATGACTCTGCACATAAAGAATGTTTTGTTTTTAAGAAGTCAATACTCAGAATGATCAAGTTGAAATATAATTATGTGTTAATTGCTAAAACAAATACTCTAGTAAGGGCTATCTGTTAAATGTGGTTAATGACCAAACCTGAAAGGGTGGGTAAGCAGGACTGAGCTAAAGGCCCAGGGCTCAGAGAGTGAACATAAGCCATGGAGGCTATTTCTTTAGATCCTAAAGCCATGGAGGATATTTCTTTGGTTGCAGAATGGCTGAGATAGGGACTATTAATATAGAATGAGAGCCTAAAGTAACAAAAACTCTGAAGAGTACAACAGAAGCCTCATACCCCTACACCAAGGTAACCCCTTTCTTCAGCCAAACTTTTCAGTGGTCTGCAAGTGAACTTTTTTGCTAGGACAGAATACATCATCAATTCTACAAAGAACATTAATAACAAAACAATATGCAAAAATTCACTTTGCTAAATCATCTCCACAGCTAACTGTTCCCTTAAGCATACATAGCCTACCATGTACTAGGAGCAGATCTCAATTGATAAAAATCAACTTTCCACAGTCCTTCCCATCCCGCCCAGCCTCCTACCCATTTCCTAGTTCTCTCCACATTCCTATCTCCTGAGGGAGAACTGGCCCCACACCAGTCCATCTGCTGACTCTGACCCCTCACCAAGTCCCACCTGTTAATGAAGTTGCCCAGGTTGTTAAGCAGCTCAGAATTATTCTTGAGAAGCATATCTGTCCAGGAGAAGGCACTGTCCTGACCCTCAGGCCGAATGTACAGCAGATAGAAGCGCCAGATGTCAGCAGGGATCCCTGTGTCCTGGGCCATGTCCCCAAACACTCCCACACCCCGACTCTTAGAGAATTTCCCGTCCTCATAATTCAGGTATTCTGGACAGAAAAGGAGAATGAGAACCATGTACTCAAACCACAACCTTCCCCTCTGACCCACTAACTTCTTTCCTCACCATCAACCTCAACTATGGATGTTCAGCAACATTTCTCCTTGAGTAGCTACCTCACACAGAACCTGGGGGTCCCTTCATATCCATTCTGGCCTTTTCTTCTCTTTGCTTATACCAGCTACAAAATTTTAGCTTTGGACTCTTGCTTTCTTCAGGTTCTTGTTTCCTTTCTCTGGGCTGAATTCTCATGTTTTAATTATCTCCTATTTCATCTCAACTCCTAAATCAAGACATAGTATTTCTCCAGGATCTTCTTCCAAGTACTGCCTCAGCCCTCGTTCCCTTGGAACACCCCATCTGCAGTCTTCCAGAGTACCTACCAGTAGCAATGATGTGGCTGACCAAGGTATAGTTGTCTTCAGCCCCTAGGGCTGAACAAGGAAAAACCAAGCCATGGAAGGGAACATTGTCTTTGGCCATGAACTGATATAGCTCTACCTAGGGGAATACAGTTGAGAGATCTCCTGAGATCTTCAAAGGCCCAAGAAAGACCAGATATCCAACTATCCAACTCTAACCACAACCCCCCCCCCCCCCCCCCCCCCCCCCCCCCCCCCCCCCCCCCCCCCCCCCCCCCCCCCCCCCCCCCCCCCCCCCCCCCCCCCCCCCCCCCCCCCCCCCCCCCCCCCCCCCCCCCCCCCCCCCCCCCCCCCCCCCCCCCCCCCCCCCCCCCCCCCCCCCCCCCCCCCCCCCCCCCCCCCCCCCCCCCCCCCCCCCCCCCCCCCCCCACACCCCCCCCCCCCCCCACACACACACACACTACCCACAGACAGGATAACCAAGAATTGCTCACTTGCTCTGGGTTCTTCCACCATCTCTCCCACTGGTCTGTGTAGTTGGCTGTTATGGACAGGTAGCCAATAGTGGCATCAAACCAGACATAAAATACCTGGAAGATCAGGAAGAGGGAAACATGGTGGGGAACAACGCAAAGTCTCAAATCGAAACAAGACATAATCAATACCTATTCTGCTAGCCCAAGGTCTCAACCCCAAGGCTAAATAATTTGAGATATGAAATTACCTTGTCCTCAAAACCTTCTAAGGGTACAGGGGTTCCCCATTTGAGGTCTCGGGTAATGCAGCGTGGCTTGAGGCCATCCCGAAGCCAAGAACGAATGATAAACCGGGCATTGGGGGTCCAGTCACTTCCAGACAATGTCTTCCCCAACCACTCCTGCAGTCTCTTTTCCAGCTGAAATGGCAGAGAGACAGAGGGTTGACTTAGGACAGTCTCATACATGGTTAATATAAGGATAAATACATATAACCTTTTTAGAGTACAGTTTGGCAATATTTAAAAGACTCATGACTTTGACACAGCAATTCCACTTCTAGGAATTTATTCAACAGAAATTTATTTAACAGAAATATTCACACAAGGGCCGGCTCGTGGCTCACCCAGGAGAGTGTAGTGCTGATAACACCAAGGCCATGGGTTCAGATCCCATATAGGCATGGCTGGTTCGCTCACTTCGGAGAGTGTGGTGCTGACAACACCAAGTCAAGGGGTAAGATCCCCTTACCAGTCAAAAAAAAAAAAAAAAAGAAATATTCACACAAGAGTGTAGAGATGTGTACATAAAAAAACATACTGTTCATGGGGCTGGCCAACTAGTTAAATTGGTTGGAGCACAGCCTAATAACCCCAAGGTCATGAGTTTGGATCCCCATACTGACCAGCCGTCAAAAAAAAAAAAAGAAAGAAAGAAACGTACTGTTCATGACAGCAAAAAATTGAAACTACAGATGCTCCTCAACTGACGATGGGGTTATGTATCCCCATCGTCAGTTGAGGGCAGTTGAGCATACTGAATATACGTCTCTTTCAAACCATCATAAAGTTGAACCACCATAAAGTGGAAAAATCCTAAGTTGAACCATTGTTAAGTCAGGGAC